GTGCAAACACTCCTTATGGTGTCTACAGAGCAGCTCACAGCATTTCACACCATTTCACACCAGTTTAATAAAAGTAATGTACCTGTGCCTACGGGTGTATGTAAATGAATGCATTTTTTTAGATAGATGGGTGTTTCTTATAGTTAGAACTATGCAGAAGGTTTCGTGTGTGGGAACTCTTGGTTACAGCTTTCCTCCTTGGGCGCATGTCTCAGTGGTCTGTGGTGGACTACCCTTTCGTCTCAGCCAGGTGTTTCTCACATCCTGTCCTGTCACCTCTCTGGTGGGACCTCTCCCACCTCCTACCACTTGTTACTCACCAGAGCAGTTTCCATCTCATCCCCAGTGTGTCAGAAGTTGCAGGGCTCAATTCTTTTTTTTTTTTTTTTCTTTTTTTTTGCATTTCTGATTTAAGCATATGGTTTTGTCGTAGAGAGCTCAGTGCTCCAAGCCGAAGCCTGGAGCAGTGCCTGAGTCCAAGCTCCAGCGGTGGTACGTCCATCTATAACATTGGCACCAGCCAACCACGCAGCATTACTGCCTGGTCGTTTCCCTGCAATGCATATTGTATCCATTTTTATAGTTTCTTTTATACTTTCAACAGACTTTATAACAGCAATAATGTCATTCAGATAATTATACCGTAATTGACCTTAGCGTTGAGCATCCTTGGCTTTTACTGCAGTTTGCTTAATACTTCAGGATGGTCAATTATCTCATAATTCCCACTTTGTTGGGAATTATTGTTTTAATTATTACACTCCAAATACATCATTTTGGCATAGTAGTAAGAGTACGCTGGGGAATGGTCATATTCGTGAATGCTTAGAGTTACCAGCTTTATCATGTGGGAGGGCTTTTCATCCTGTCATCTCTAGTCATTACTTTTAACATTTAATTATCACTTAGTCTGCTCAGGCCAGGTCTTCGTCTGCAGAAACTAGCATATGGGGAGTTGGGGCTTGCAGGATTTGAGAGCAGTTGGATGGCTGTGCAATCTGACCATACTGATCTCTTCTCTGCCGTGTTACGGTGTGAGTCATCTATGTTAATGCAAGTAACTTCCAGTGGAAGTTTGGGGTAAAACGGTGAATTTTTTTGTCTTTTCCTAGCAATTTGAAGTGTTAATTATTCCCAATAGAGAGCGAGCATGCTGATGTTTTGCCCTGTTACTGATGAGAATTTTACAGCTGCTTAAGAGGCTTGTATGGCCCTCTTTATGTTCATTTAATTTGCGCCTGTGTGGCACTGGTACTCCACCAGGAAGGAGCAGCACCCTGCCGATGTTGGAGAGAAAACATCAGTCCTTGTGGTGGGAGATCTTTTCAGGTAGCGCTGTGCTCACTGCTGCCCAAAACAGAGATGGAAGCATCACGTACCATGCTTTACAGCCTAGTGCAATAGCTACTGTGGGTCCAGCACTCGAACCACACTGGCCCACTTCTTAAGCAAATTACGTGAACAAGGCAAGATGCTCCACCTTTCTATAAATGTTTATGTTCAGTTGGTTTTTGTCAGCATTTTGTGGTGTATTTAACATGCATAAAAATGTTCTACCTCAGCAGAATATGAAAACGTGATACGTTTTGCTAAAACAGAAGCTAAACATAACCTCCTTTCACCAAAGAGTATTTTTTCCCGTGGCTGATCTAATTATTATAAGTGAGCAAACTCAGTGTTGGTTAGTAGGAAAATGCTGCTCTCTAGTAGATTAACGCATTTTATTGAAGAAAACAGCAGTGTGAAAAGACTTTATTTCTCTATAAATTTTAATAGTTACTAAAATGAGGACTCTGGCCCATTAAGTTACAGCCTGCCAAGTCATAATGCTGAATCACTTAATTTCTCTAAGTAGCTATCCCATTCCAGCTTCTTAAAGGCAGCTGTTAGGAGAGCACCGATGTTTTAATCAAGGAACGGGGCAGAGTCTGACAGCTAAACAGTGTGCTTCCATGGAGGATTTCTTGCACAGTCTGCAAATGTAAGGACCTGTCTTGGAGTATGTAGACTTGCACTCTCAGGTGGGTACAGGATTATATGTAGGCATCTGGTGTCAGTGGAAACTGGGAGGACATTCCTACGTCCCAGTATTTCTCACAGAAGATAAATCCTTACAAGTGTTTACAGACAGAAAAGCTGATGCGAGCAACAGTGGGAACTCAGTATGGATAATAATGTTTTTCCCCTCACACTGAAAATAGCAGGCGTTAGGTCCGTATGAAGATCTAGAGCATAGCTCTTTGGCTATGTAGATGACATAGCTTTATTACTTAGCATAAGATATAAATTTAGATCTGTCTGCACCAGTACCAGAGATCCCTTGGAGTCAGAGATCTTTTTGTGGCAGGTGCATCACATGTTGAAGGGAAAAGAAGGCAGTACTGCAGGGGTATTGATTGACTGGCTCTGTGCAAGGACGGGGGTAGGACAGATAAAGGTGAGAGTGTTTAGGTTTGTTCTGTAGTAATGCACTCTTGAGGCAAAATGTTAGTCCTAGTACACTGGCCAAATTTCAGTTTGGGAAATGAAATTCTGCCTGCTCTCAATAGGTGAGTAATCTCCATTTTTCTGCTAATGTCAGGTGAGGTACCTCAGCAAGATCATTTCATGTCGGTATCAGGTTTGATCCATCTTTGAATGCCTGATGTGGTGCTCATCCTTTATGTGCTGGTGGTAATTACCTACTTTTTCGTTCTAGTAGGGAGCTTTAATTTATTACTTTATTAAGCAGTGAAATCAAAGATTAAAATGGTATCTATAGCACATGGCTAACTAGATTGTGAAAAATGAAACTATATGGTTTCAAATTTATGAAAATAAATATTTCTATTTAAATAAGTGCAGTGGTTTACTTTAATTCTTTAGACACCGCTCTAATTTGTAGTTTACTGGTGATTATTTTTCTTCGTTTTAAAGCAAATTGCTTTCTGTAGGGTGAAGTTGAGAAATAATGAATTGAATTCACATTACAAGCTACCGCCTCCCAAATTGTAAATGAATATAAATGTAATAGGAGCATACTATTAAAATCTTTTGCAAAAGACTATGCTATATCATTGCAGTAAACAAATACATTTTTCAAGCCATCAGTTCATTTAATGTTGCATGTCTATTTGGCCTTTATTTTAAGGGCTTCCATGCCTACTGCCACTACTGTCTCCAAATGTCTTAACATGTGTTGTCTCTTCAGAGCAAAAAATAACATTGTTAGTTTGTGTCATTTACTATAATAGTTGATTAATGATCTGCTTTAAAGCTAAATCAGGGAACGTATTTTAAAATGTATTTGCTCAGGATGGGAAATCCTTGTCTACCTATTTTATGCTCTCGGGGGAGAGAGAGAGAGGGAGGCAGGCAGGCAAATGGGAAAGGCACAGGCTGTGTTCAGCACTAACTTTGTTCTAAAATTTTTGTTTCCACTTAGTGTACATAGAGGGTAATTAACAATTACCAATCAAAAAGATGGAAGATTTTTGGAAATTCCACCACTCATTAATCTGAGCTGCTGTTGACAAGAATTGGAAATTTTAGAGAAGTGGAAAGGAGGACCTGGTGTCCCAGCAGGGAGAAATGTTCTCTCATGTGACTTGGGCGACAACCACAGCTTAACTTTTGTGGTTAAGCATTCTTAATCCTTACCAGAAGTTTGTTGTGTAATAAGCTAAGGAATAGAAGAAATGCGGTAATAGCAGCGGAACAGAAGTTGCACAATGTAAATGCTAATTTCTTGGTTTGCGTTCCTGGTAGTAGCTATAAAGTAAACCGAGGGAGGTGTGCACTGAAAACCCCAAAACCAAATTGCTATGTTGTACAGTTTTATGTGGAACAACATCTGTCCATAGTGTGTGGAGGAAGAACCCCCAAACCAGTGTTTCTGGATGAATGGGAGGATCTAAAATCTGGAAGTAAGGACTTCTTTGGTTGTTGTTCCTCCCACCGCTTTAATATGAGGAGAGCAGAGAGATGGAAACAGTCAGCAGGGTTTCAACTGAGAATTACTTTAATCTTAATTCCTGTCAGCTCTAATTCTGCAAAATGCCTGAACGCATCCTTACTTATGTACGTTCAACCATTGACTTCAGTGTGAGATAAAGTTTAGCGCATGCTTAAATGCTTTCTTGAATTAGGGCCAAAAGCTGCTGCTAAAATCAATCCCAGAGGGAACTTTGCATCTTTCATTGCTTCCTTTTTTGTGTACCAAGATACAGGCTCCATCAAGCTTTGGAAATATGGTAGGAGTTGATAAATGTCGCCTGCCTTGTTTAAAGAAGTAGAGCAGAATTGTCAGATGACAGTGCATAAAGTACATATTACCTTCCTTTCTCTCCTGTCCCTTACACGTGTTCTTTAATGATCATTACTAAGCGAGGGCTACAGAATGGCAAGAGACTCACTGAGCCACCACATTGTGTTTCCATCTACTGCAGTCACAGCCAGGAATTGTAAAAGGTGACAAAGTAAAAGGAGTTGAGGTATTTCCCCCTATTCTTTCCTGCTTTGAGGAAAGACTGTTCAGCAGCTTGCTTCTTTTTTTGCTAGAAATCTTCATTCAAACCTTTGCTGAAGTGTGACTTACCTTAAGCCACTTTGTTCTTGTTGATTTACACAGGCAAACGCTCACACATACACACTCACCCCCCGCCTTCTGGGAGTATTGATTTAACCCTGCATATTTATAGAGGAAACAAGCCAAAACCAGGCCAATGCACACTATTCACAAAATGGTCCAAAGTAGCTCTACATTCATACCGTTGACACTGCAGATAGCAACTATGATCTGTCGGCTGATCTCCTTTATCTGTCTCTTGTAATGCATTGTGCACTTTTAATACAAGACACTTGCTGAGTAGCTATTGCGGATTAAACCCCAAAGTGCTATCTGTGGGAACAACTCCAAATCATATTTATTGGGTTAAGTTGTATTGAGGGATAGTAACAAATGAACCACTGTTTCGAATGAGCATCTGATGATGTTTTCTTCATCTCTTTTCTAACTGCAGAGCTCTTCTGTATCTCCCTCAGCCAGTTTCAGAACAGCAGAAAAGCACAGAAATTCAACAGATTATTCTTCAGAGAGTAAAAAACAGAAAACAGAAGAGAAGGAAATAGCAGCGCGTTACGTGAGTATATTGACTACATTGTGCGTTGTTGAACTTAAGTAATTTCACCTGATTTGCACTGCATAACTTTAAAATTAAGGGTCAAATTTTCAACAGGTTCTTACTATCTGCCTCTAACATCTGTGCTGGGTGGAAGGTTTTGGTGTGTAGTATTGGTAGTTTTTTAACAATATAGATGCAGAGCACCCAGAAGGCATGTGACAAGAGGGCTGTGCATTAGTTTGGCTGGGACTTGCTAGATCTGGACTCTAGCTTGGCTCCGCTTGTTGGTACAGTGCAACTTTGGATGGGGGTTTTCATCCTGTGTCCTTGTTCACCAATGTGAAAACTGGGGAGAATACTATAGCTATGGCAGCTTGTTAAGCAGAAGCTCTATAGGTGACCTAAATATTGTAATTGTATCACCACATAAAGCTTGGTAAAAGTAAATGCTATGTTGCATAATTGTGAGTAGCCTTGCATTTCAATGCTTTATTGTTTCTTAGTACTTAAGAGACGTTGGGATATTAAATAAATGTTTTTAACACATCGTGACTTGTCATTACAGGACAGCGATGGTGAAAAGAGCGATGACAACTTGGTAGTTGATGTTTCCAATGAGGTATACACAATGGTGGTTTTTCTGCCTTACAGTGTGTGTGAGGGGGGTGTCTTCAGTGGTTTCTGTGCATATTGGGTATATGAATAAGATTACAGCCTTTGTCTCTGTAAAGGAGCTTGAAACCTGAGAGAAGCCAGTCAGGTCCTCTTTCTTTAGAATGCAAATCAGACCTGTAACACTTACTCCTACAAAGGACCTTTTTGTTTCTTGTATGAACCAAAAGTCTGCTTGCAATATTTGAAGCCAGCCCAGCACAGCAGATAGGATGCAGCTTGTAACGGTATCTGTGTTTTCTTTCACTCTGGCCATGACTTCATTTGTGAACTTTATCAGGTCTGCCAAGTGCCTCCAGCCTTTTCAATCTGTCACCTGACAAATGAGATTTACTTGCCTATTTCAATATCCATAGATTTTTAACATTATTTTTCATGCTTAATGGCATCAAATTTTAAGACTTTCTTAAAAAAAAAAAAAAAAGTTGTTTTTCATTATCCATCTCGATTTTACAGTTTTATCAGCAAAATCAAATAAGAACTGAAGGAAGATGTCACTTTTTATGATAGATCCTCATTCCAAAGTGAGAATTGCTCAATACAAGTACTACTGGCTAGTATGGAGTGTTTATGGTAACCCACATTGCTGATGTTTAGGATCCTTCCTCTCCGCGGGGGAGCCCAGCACACTCTCCTCGGGAGAATGGCTTGGACAAGACTCGACTGCTGAAGAAAGATGCACCGATTAGTCCGGCATCTATTGCGTCCTCCAGCAGTACTCCTTCCTCCAAATCCAAAGAACTTAGCCTTGTAAGTGCTTCAAAATGCTCCTGACCTGTGGTGATAGGCTGAAACAAGTGCTTACCAGATTTCTGTCTGGACACAATTTAGATTTCCACAGCTATCAGTAAAACCCTATGAAGCATCAATTTGAAAGTCGTTTAATTTATCTCTTTAAGGGAATTTAATAAAATAGTAAGGAGAAAGTCCACAGCTTTTTTTGGAAGGATAGGAAGAGGTTATTTTCACCGGTGGTGTGGGTAGATGATGGATGTGCTGTGCTGAGAGATGTTTTTCTCCTCCCCCATATGAAAAACTGTCATTCTGAGAATAAATAAAAGTACACAGGGGTTCCTTGAGCTGTTTTCCTGTGCTGTGGTTTATAGCAAATTCAGTTCCCTGCTTGGATGTGATTTGGTTGTTAGCTTTGTTTGAATTACCAGGCCATATACAACAACAATAATTTTTATTTTCTATCTAAAAAGTAATCTGTCATTTACAAGAGCCTTCCTTGACTTGCATCACAAATCACAATGCAAAAAAACCCCAACGAGCTGCCTGCAAGTCGAGGGTGTTCTTTCCTTTCCTGTTTGTGACCACAGTTAATCACCTTCCTGAGCTGCACAGTAACTCCCCTCTCAATTCTTCACAGGTCAGGGTACGTGATTATTTAAAGAAATAAAATAAATAAAAAGAAAGTTAAAGTGAATGTAGTGCTCAGGAAAGGTGGTGGAATGACAGGTTCAGGCCCAGGAGTCAGTGATTTGTCTGATGAACAAGCTTGTCACAAGAGTGGCACTGCACAGTTCCTGACTTTATACCCATCACTGTCTCCATCCTGTGTTTCCAGCACCACATTTAGGCATGAGTTGTCAGTCGGTTGTGGGGGTTTTTCTGCTGTTCTTGTCCACCCAGCAGTGGCCTCTCACAGAAGCTCATAATCGTAATGGGAGCAGGTCCGCCATGAGCAGAGGGAGACTTCCAACAGATTTCACATACGCTGCCGATGTAATTGTCAGACGGCAATGATTTTCAGTCATTGACCTCATTCTGAATCATACAGATGCCCCCTACGAGGAACGCTGTGAAGGCTGTAGTTCATTCCCAAAGCCATTCTGTCTTTTTCAGTGTCTCTGCAGCTTCTCTTCATTGCCAGGGACTGTTGAAACCCAAACCCAAAAGCTAAATATCACTAATCACCCACACTCTGGTTATTGTTGGCTCTCTTTCCAACCACTAGCTAAAGTAAAATAACTAACAAACTGTCTTCCTTTTTCCTTTTTGGTGATTAGAATGAGAAATCTACCACTCCTGTGTCTAAATCAAATACCCCAACTCCACGGACTGATGCCCCAACTCCAGGTAGCAACTCCACTCCCGGACTGAGGCCGGTGCCTGGCAAACCCCCAGGTGTGGACCCGCTAGGTTAGTGTCCATGTATTTAGATGTTGTGAAATGATGGCCATTTGTCCCTAACCAGGTTGTCTTTAAATCTGCAGTGACAAGGCAGTATATTACAACTGCTTAAACTGGATGCTGAGCTGGTTCTTCAGCACTTTCATACAGCATGTATATATATAGATATTTTACTGTTTGCCAAAATCATATTTCATCTGATGGGTCTGGGCTGGCCGTGTGACTTCCCTCTTTTTTCCCCCCTCAATAGCTTCAGGTTTAAGAACACCTATGGCAGTGCCGTGTCCTTATCCTACTCCATTTGGGATCGTGCCACATGCTGGTATGAACGGAGAGCTGACCAGCCCTGGAGCTGCCTACGCCGGTCTACACAATATTTCGCCACAACTGAGTGCAGCAGCTGCAGCAGCAGCAGGGGGGGGAAAAAAAACTGCCTACGCCGGTCTACACAATATTTCGCCTCAAATGAGTGCAGCAGCTGCAGCAGCAGCAGCGGCGGCAGCTTATGGGAGATCTCCAGTGGTAAGTGTTTGCCACTTGTGCATTCAGTGTTGAGAGCAGTTTATATTAAATGTAAGACCTGCAGGGTTAAGTCTAGTTCAGTGTCTTTGTAGTGTGGGGACTGTGCTATGGAAAACATGAATAAAACAGTCTTCCTTTGCCTAACTCCATCTTTAATACACCTTTTTGTTTTGCTTGGGGAAAACTATAGGTTGGGTTTGATCCACATCATCACATGCGAGTCCCAGGCATCCCTCCCAATCTCACAGGCATCCCAGGAGGAAAACCGTGAGTAGCAAATATTCAACTTTAAAAGTCAGTCATCTGTTGAAGTTGTGTTCCCTTGCCAGTTGGAATTCCCCTTAGCTACCGAAAACTATTGTGTGAATATAAATAAATATAGCTATTTGGCAAGGGCAGGAGAAACACTGTTGAATCTCAAAGTTGCATTTGTAAATTGTTTTGAAGACTAATAGCAGCTGATGAAGACTGGTTGATACAGACTAAAGGAGACAAGTAAATGGAAGAAGGAGCTGAACTTCAAGGTGTTACATGCTGAGTCTTATTGTTGGTCTTATATGGAAAGGTGAACTGGAACGAGATCTTGGCTTTCCATCTCTACTGTACTCTGCTTCTCAGTTTTAAAAAATGATTTCTTTGTTCACAAAAGCCTTGCAATTACTTGCAAACTTATCAGCTGCTCTAAACAGCAGTGTGCAGAGAAAGGAACACTGAAATGTTTTGTTTGATTGAAAATACTGGAAAGAATTATTGTATCATAATGCTCAAATTCATCCTTGATGGAAGTGACCGTAAAAGGTGACCTGCTCTACCAGGCTTCGCTTGTTGTGAGCCTTGGAAAAAGAATTACACAGATAAGAAGAACTCTCTGCTCACATCCCTCTTGAGTTAGAGAGGGGAAAAAATAAAACAGTGATGCAAACCGTATTGATCCAGATTTTATGTAAGGGTCCTCCACTTCCACTTGTTGCGTGACGCTTGTGGGAAACTGTGACCAGCTAATACTGGAGAGGTTGAAGGGCAGGGGATGTTTGTGCCATTCTTTCTCTCGGTCTCATATGTATGAACGTATTTGTGGAGGAGTGGTTTTGGGGTAGTCACACACTTGTATGCATGTGAGTAAATGTATACACTCACCTGCCAGTGAGCTTGCAGACACGCAGGATTGATAACGTGTCATGGTGACAAGTGATCAGTCCTAGTGCCTGTAATGCCTCTTCCACATATGTGCCACACAGATCATAAACCATGCCCAGGCCTTTCAGATGTCACACACTAGTTACCACCTCAAGTTGACTTTTCTGCTAGTTGCGCCACCCGGTTAGGTGGCTGCATAAGGCAAGTATGGAAACTGGTGTGCAGCAGCTTCTGGACCAGCTGCTTGCATTAAAAATTCTGTGGGGCACAGATCTTCAAGCGGGCACTTAGAAGTGTCTTGACGTACTGTTCAAATGTTGTCTGGGTTCAAGTTCATCCCTGGTGGCGTCGCTTGCCCAGGAGGAAGGGTGACTGACTGGCTTTACCAGGCTTTGCTTGCTGTGGTCGGAGAAATGGCAATACCGGGGGTGCGGAGACCTCCCTGCTCACGTCTCACTCGTGTTAGAGATGGGGGGAATAAAACGTGAGGCAAACTGAAATCAAACCAGTTCAATTCTGGTTCAATTCCAAGGTTTTTGAATGTTATTGATGTACTGATGACTGTTTTAAACATTTAAATGTAACTGTCATTTATCTGCTGTAAGGCCTGAAACCTTTGAAATCTGTGGTGGTTTTAGCATGATTGCATTGATTTTTCTTCATCTGAAGTGCGGTACTTTTCACAGCTATCATTTGGGATTGTTGCTTTCTGATTTACTCTTCCTTTTCCTTTAGAGCAAAAGTTGTGTAAATTCTCTGTGCTGTTGAGTGTCTGTTGAAATGGAGTGGGCAGCATGAGGCCCATCAGGGATCTGGCCCCTAATAACTCTCATTTCACTTTGGAGATATATCAAAATGCTGAGGATTGTACAGCATATGAATAGAAAAGGTTGCTAATGTGAGAAGAAGAAAGAAGTGCTCGCCAGGTGTTTGTAGTGTCAGATATTTATAAGATATTTAAAGTACTTCAAATAAGCAACATGCAGTATTAGTTCTCAGCGTGAAAAAAAAACCAACCACTCAACCACCACTAAACCAAACCAAGCAACAAAGCAACAGTTTAATCACTTGTGCTGGTATGGAGTAATGAATAGAGTGAGAATAACATCACAGATCACTCCAGATCTAAGCTTTATTTCTGTAATTGTTAAATATGTTCCCTGTGTACTTTCTAAGCACGCTAAAAATCACTTTGGCTGATAAAAGTGTTGTACACTCGGTGCTCAACATGGCTCTGCAGAGAGTGACTGCATACAGAAATCAGAGAAGATGATAATGAAGTTTCAGTTGTTTTTTTTAGAGATTTCAGGTGACCATCAGCTGCTTTTTTCAGTACCTTACTGCAGCAAACAGGAATTAGGGATATAATGAGGAAGGTATTTCAGATTTCTGTGGTACTAATCGAACCCTGATTCTACTTATATAGGCAGTTAGCTGCTTCTGACAACCACAGAAATCTGTCCTACCCTTTCCTGAATGTGTTTAATGTCAGAAAATGGAGAATGATGATATGATCTGTCACTCAGACCTGCCAGAACAAGAAACAGAGCACAGGATGAGAAGAGTGTGTAAAGCTCTGGGAATAGGGCAGAAAGGTGAAAATGCAGTTGCATTTCGTCCCACTGAAAATTACTGTTCTAGTGTTAATGCACTATGAATCTTAAATAACAAATTCAATAGTTGAATCCTGAAGACTGCCTTCTTCAGTGACTTTAAAGCACCATTTGAGGAAGTGATCTTCCTAAGTGTTCTCATAAAATGATTTTTTTTGGTGATCTCTTCTTATATCAACACTGTGACAGCGGATTTTTCATCAGTACCATAATGATTTTTTAGGTCGAAGGAAATTAATGCCTTCCATTAAGCGTACCTTGGTCTATGTAGGTGAACCCTCTTACAAAGTTTGTGCTCATGTAATAGATGTGATGTGTCAGGTAGCATCTCAGAACAAGACAATTTCACAACCTAACTGTTCTCCCTGGAAAATATTTTGAGATGAAGCTGTTGATAGGTTATTCACAAGTGGCATAACTGGCAGTCGCACAACACATTCTTTCTCAGTGAGAGCCCTGATTCTGGCAAGAGAAATTGGGATTTGTATTTGTTGTGTCAGGTCCACACAAAAAAACAAAAGGGGGGGGGGGGGGTAAAAAAAAAAAAAAAAAAGAAAAGAGACAGCAAGCTCAAAATTAAGAAAAAAATTCCAGAGCGTTTTTGCTGGTCTGTCATGTCAGATGTCAGCAACCATGCCTTGAGAACTTAACTCTTTGACGGTGGAGGTTTTTGTGCACCCTTAGGTAGAGTGTCTGGGCAGTTTCACTCGAGGGATGTGGGACCTGCGGTGCGTATGGGGCAGCTTGGCAGCAGTCCAGCTGAAGTTTGCACATTAGAAGTCAGTAAGGGAAGATCAAATATTCCCTGGCAGTCAGCTACCCGCCATGCTCTGCAGCAGCCAGCCAACTATTTCTGTCTGCCAGGGGGCCCTGACTGGACCCTCCTTCCCTTCTCTGCATGCAGTGGTCTCCCTGTACCCCAGGTTTAAGAGCAGCATCGTGTATCCTTGCTCATGCCAGAAATCAGCATTGTCTGAGTTGTAAAAGCTCATTTGATTGGTAGATGGTGTTTGACTTTCCACGTTAAAAGAAGAGTTTGTGCTTTGAGAGCCATGCTATAGGTAAATAAATGATTTCTTCTTCACGTAATTAAAAAGATTGCAAAAGGAGCTGAGTGTACAATCTGAATGCCCGCAGTGGAACCACACCTTTGATTCTGTTTTCTTACATCGTCTTGAAGAAAAACTTCTTAAATCACCCCCTGATCTTTTTTTTTTCCCCTCAGAGCATACTCATTTCATGTAAGTGCAGATGGTCAGATGCAGCCGGTTCCTTTCCCTCCTGATGCCCTCATCGGTCCAGGAATCCCTCGCCATGCCCGTCAGATCAACACTCTGAACCACGGGGAAGTTGTGTGTGCGGTTACCATCAGCAACCCCACGCGACACGTGTACACGGGTGGGAAGGGGTGCGTCAAAGTCTGGGACATCAGCCACCCTGGCAACAAGAGCCCTGTCTCTCAGCTGGACTGCCTGGTGAGTGAGCAGCAGCGTACAGCAGGGGAAGAAGATATCAGGTTGTGTTAAGATTGAAATGGTACCGTTTAGGCACAGAAGACAGTGGCTATTGGAGTGCTATCATTGGTGTCAAAGCTTGATACTTCATTTGTAATTTTGTTGCTTCTTTTAGAACCGAGTTTCAAGTGTGTTCCTTGTTGTACTTGTGATTCCCACCGCCCTTCCCCCCCAGTGAATCAAAACATCTTTAATATCCTAAAATTGTATTGGTAGGGGGAGAGATCAAAGACATTACGGCAGATACTGTTTATAAACTTTGACATTTGTTGGCAATCTTAAAGCTTGATATCCTATCACGCTAAAAATTGCTGTCTTGCTGCTGTATTCTCTGAGAATATTTGAAGATTGTGTCACGTATTTTGTGTCTGTGTATGTGTGTGAATGCATTGCCCTGTCTTAATGTGACAATTAAAAATATCCCTGAGTGTTATTCACAAATTATTTGAATGTGCTAACAAGATGAACCATTGTTAGCAGCTTTTCTCATGTCATTTACCAGTTCTTGGTAAGATGTTGCTTCTTGTTACAGAGGCAGTAAAATGAGAACTGTGCAGCACATGCAGACATATAATGAATTGCTACACAAGTTGCTACACAAATGAAGAAAATTGCCCAAATATTTTCCTCTGACATCTCCTAGATGGTGGCAGCAAGTCTCACTGGAACAGGGGGGTGGGGAGTGTGCAGGGAATTTGGTACTCCCCCATGCCGAGAGGTTAATGTGCTGAAATAAACAGAGTATGAAAATGTAACTTTCTACACAAGCTGTCGAATACAGCTATCTTGAATTGTTTTGGGCTGGGTTCAGGTCTTTGCGTCTTGATGCTAATTAAGATTAAATATCTCTCACTACTGAATTTTGTAGATCAAGTTTAAGTACTTCCCTAATGTCATGTAATTTTCTGGCATTAATACACTTTATCATTGTCATAAGTATAAATGGCTCATTAAAACCAGGAGGGAATACAATACTTTTATGGATTTCTGCTCTCATGTTAATGCTGTTTTCCTTTCCTCATGAGTAATCTCTTGATGGCTTCTGTCTCCACAGAACAGAGATAACTACATCCGTTCCTGCAGATTGCTCCCTGACGGCCGCACCCTGATTGTTGGCGGGGAAGCCAGCACGTTATCCATTTGGGACCTGGCAGCTCCAACTCCTCGCATCAAAGCAGAGCTGACATCTTCTGCTCCGGCTTGCTATGCCCTAGCTATCAGCCCCGATTCCAAGGTCTGCTTCTCTTGCTGTAGCGATGGGAATATTGCAGTGTGGGATCTGCATAACCAGACTCTGGTCAGGTAGGTCAACGGAACTGGATCACTGGGTTGTGAAGAGTTAATTAGACGTGGCTTTATGTCCCCTTTTGTGTACATATGCTATTTTCTTCATGGTGCCTGGCATAGCTGCTTCCAGTATTTCATTGCTAGGCAATAGCCATGGTAATACCATGACAAAAGACTATATAATTGTTTATAGGCTTTGAGAGTTTCATAATTCCAGGCCTGTTGAGCAGCCCATAACTATAATTTCCTAAGATCAGCTGGTGTTGACACTGCTGCAGGCTCTTTGAACGGATGGTATTCTTTGTATCCGTGCAATACACTCTGCTCACACTCCAATCTCTTTAATCGGTGCTCCCCCAAATATGTCTTGGGTAAAGATGTGCGTAAATTACTGCATTGCAAACTTAGCATCTTAGGAGTATGGGTTGCTGCTCAACACTAATGTACAGTAAGCTAGGAGCCAGTCATACAGAGCTGCTCTGTGCACTGCACCGTATGTTGTTGCTCGTAGTATATCAGTATTGCAAGTAAGGGCAGGCTTTTACTCTCTGATGTTCTCATTTAGACTGCTGTTTGTTTGGTTTTTTTCCAGCTTTTTTGGTGACCTGCAGATTCTTCTTAAACTCAGTGAATTCTGATGATCATGCTACATTCCTTTGCAGGGGGAGTGGGGTATTTTCGGTCGAATAGTGGATATCACACAGTCAGCAGTGAAAATCCTCAGAGTATCTGACTCGTAAAGTGTGCTTTTTGAAATCAAATTAGTGCTTGGCTGTCTGGCCTGATTGCTTCATCAATTCGTCACAAAACTCACATGCTCATCCCAGAGTTTATATTAATCTCAGATTGCGATTGTAATCTATGTTATGGTTGTCTTTAATGGCTGTGTGTCAGGTACTGAAAGGAAAAGGAATATTTTGTACACATGCTCAGACCCGGCTCTCAGTGTGAGAATGTGCATATCTTCTTTCAATATTTTCAGGCAATTTCAGGGCCACACAGATGGAGCGAGCTGTATTGACATTTCTAATGACGGCACCAAACTATGGACGGGAGGCCTGGACAATACAGTCAGGTCCTGGGATCTCAGAGAAGGGAGACAGCTACAGCAACATGACTTCACATCGCAGGTTCAATCTCAGAAGCTTTGGCATGTTAAGAAAAATCTATCATGGTTTCCTAAAACAAGGACTTCTGGTTTTGGGGTTTCTTTTAAAAGCAAAAAAAAAGCAGGCTCAAAGAGAACTCCAAAGAATCTTTCACTTTGTTTCACACCCTTTTTTTTTTTTTTTTTTTTTTTTATGTGTCAGCTAAATGTCTTTCTGGATTATGACTATTTGACAGATTAGTACTTCTCCCATGAGACTAGTGGAGAATCCTTTTTATAAAAGAATTGCTAGATTAAAGTGTTCCTATGTGCAATCTGTTCCCATTTCTGTAGATTCTTCTTCAAAAATACTTTACAAAAATATTTTTAAATGCTGTCAGATAAGCTAGGACATCAACTTTTATAGCTTGATTCATTGCGTTGCTATTACAGTTTTAATTGAGCTTTGTTTACATGAACTAATTTATCTTGATTACTGTAGTGATTGGATTATCATGTTTTTAAAACTGTAGTAGACCAAAATGTGTTTTTGCATAGTGTTAACAGTGTAGCAGGAGTCAGTTTTGAATATCTCAAGCTCATTCCTTTACTGATTGAAGCATGTGCTGTGCTAATTCCAGATCTTCTCGCTGGGCTATTGTCCAACTGGTGAGTGGTTGGCGGTAGGAATGGAGAACAGTAACGTCGAGGTGCTGCATGTTACTAAGCCAGACAAGTATCAGCTGCATCTTCATGAGAGCTGTGTGTTGTCACTCAAATTTGCTCACTGTGGTAAGCAAATCTTTTTATGCCAGTGTGTTCCGTCCCCGAGAAGTTTGTTCAAAGATTGCCTTTAAATGAAAGTAGGGGTATAGCTAAAAATTAGATGTTAAATTTAAGTATTGAAATTATTTAAAAAATTCTGTGAGACTCCTTTTTTTCTGTGAACTGCTTACGTTATGAGTGAACATTGTAGTACAACCAGATGAAAATATGACTGGTCTTTGGATATGTTTTCCATTAATGTGTGAATGCAGTGTTTTTATGATTAATCTGTTTCTTGGGGTGCATTCCTTGAAAACAAAATGCAACAATAACACTTAAACAATCTGTTGCAGGCAAATGGTTTGTAAGCACTGGAAAAGATAATCTTCTTAACGCCTGGAGAACACCTTATGGAGCCAGTATATTCCAGGTAATAATCTCCTAAAAGCTTTTTTCCACATACATTACAGTGCAGTAGAGCTGCATATCTCAGGGTCTGTCATTAGCTTAAGGAGTTTTTAAATGGAAATTCTTGGCTAATTACTCTGTTCCTTTAAGACTTTGTCTGTAATTAAAGAGAGATATGCTTTTGTCCTTTCTAACATTTGAGTAATTTAGCTCTTACAATAAAGTAGCCCTTTAATCCGAAATTGTTTTGAGTACCCTTGTTGCTCACCTCCTTGTGCATATGGCTACAGTACAGTATTCAAGTGTGTTGCTAGGTGAGCATTCACTGAAAGTCCAAAATATAGCTAAAACAGTGAAAGTCATGCTCAAAATGTGTATTTTTCTTGGATGAAATGCATAAACCTAGTGGATTGGACAGGCAGACTTCTGAGCTGAAGACTGTATCCTTATGGAGGAGGCCCGTGGAGTGTATCTGCAAGCCCTCTGTGCCCAATTTTAATGGCACTTCAGTGCCATTAAAGGGAAGTGGGATTTTTGGCATGGCCTTCTCTTTTTTCATCTACAGGTACCTCTAGACTTGGAATTTTTTCAATTAAGTTAACTGGTGTTTGTGTTTAAATGGCCAGGTCTCACCTGTACTGGTACCTGCTGTGTCTCCACCTGTGGGCACAGCGGAGTATGTCTTGACATGCGAAAGCTGAGGTCTGAGTTTTCTCAGTGGAGACTATTCAGCTCTGGAACCACCTCCCACAGAAAGCCCAAATTGTCCTACCAAGAACACATCGTCCTTAAAAGTGATGTTAAAACCCCAGTGCAGCTTTCTTAATGAGGGGTAGAGAAAAGAACTTCCTGTGCAGTGCAGCAGAAGTTTCTTGGTGAAAACTTGGTGTGGTTGGGAAGTGTTTAGCTCTTGCAGAGACAGGCAGAAAAGAATGTGGACATACGTAAACAAAAAATGCACTAAAACAGCAAGTAAAATGTGACAATACACATCATCTCAGAAGAGGCAGAAAAGGTGGGGGAGACAGAGCTAGTGCATCCTGGTGTGTCCTGTCTCCCATTCACCTGCTGTGCAGTGTTAACGTATCCTACGGCACCACAGTATCTTTCCAAATTTGCATCCTCCTTGATACTGATATTGAGGAAATTCCTCTGTGCAAGACTTTTGTCTTCTGTGTTGGGGAAATAGTAGGAGGAGATGCAGTTACTTCTGTGGAATCCTTTTTTTCACGGCTGTGGGTGGGTAGGGCTTTTGTAGTGTTTCTCCGTATGGATTTCTGGTTTACATCAAAAAAGGAAGGAAAGAAGAAGGTGGCTTTTCATACATTTTTATGCCAAAGCTAACGTATAAAATATTAATAAATGCTCATTGCTTATAAAGTGTATAGAAAGGACTGCTTCTTTTTTTTTATTGATTGATGGATTATCTCTAGGTCCATAACATTCACTTCCCTTTCCACTGCAGTTTTTTGTTGCCATAGAACTTTAGGTGGGACAAGTTTAGGGAAACAATCTTGTTAACAACAGCTGCCACTACAATACTGATAATGAAATGAACTTTCAGTGTATACCCTTTCTATAAACTCTTCCAATTAATCTTCAAGCCATACTGGATTGAAGGATTGGAAAGACATAATTGTCTTTTTCTTTCTTTTTTTTTTTTTTTTTTTTTTTCTTGTAGTCCAAAGAATCCTCATCTGTGCTTAGCTGTGATATCTCTGTGGATGACAAATACATTGTTACTGGCTCTGGGGACAAGAAAGCTACAGTCTATGAAGTTATTTATTAGAGACAAATCTGAATTCAGACAGAACTCCTTCTCCTAGCACTTTGCTGTATATTCCTTTTTTTTTTTCTTTCTAAACCGAGAATTTAAATGCTCATCACAGTTGTGGAATTTATTTTTACCTTTTTAACTTGCTGTTGATTTGTGAATGCTCATTAAGAACTTGTGATACCAAATTGTCAGATATCTACTTGGAAGAAGATGGAATAAGCATACTTAACAGTGAACTCCACTCTTTAATTATGTATTATAGCTGTAATGTATTTATTTTGTTTAAAGAAGGCTTTCTAACAATGAATTGACTAAATAAAGCTGTCTGGCCCGGCTTTAGTTTTAAATGTGCATTGTATACTTTGTGTTTTTGCAGGTGGATAAATTGGGGATCTTGGAGAAGGATGTTCAGGAGATAGTTAAAAGTTACACTAAATAGACTTGTAGTTTCTATTTAAAAAAAATAAACTTTGTTATATTTTTTAGTCCTGTTCTTGGATGAGACCTCTACGTGTTATTACAGTATAATTATTTGGTGGGAAGATGCTGTATCTTAACTATTTTAGACAGTCTTGGAAAATTAGGAAATTGCAAACTGTAGCCAGTAATCTACATGCCTGTGATGAATGGCAAATTCAGTTCACATCTAAATTAAATTCACTTTAAGTAAGAATGTGCTAATTTATATATTTGCAATGTTAATATAGCATCTTGTGTACAGATTTGTTCTCAATGCTTTTCTGTTGATAAACATAAAGCATTTTGGTGTCAAGCTAGGTTTTTTAATATAAACACCTCTCTTTGTTATATTGTAGAGAGTACAATAAGTTGCCTCAAAGAATCACCTTTGTTACTTCTGGAAACTTTTGCAATGTTTCCTTGAAAATGGGGATATGTGTCTTTGGGCAATTTTTCAATTACAAGAGATTATGAAAAATATTTGATATGTTCTTTGGAAACTGCACTGAAATAAGAATGGATGCCTACCAATATACAAACTACAAAAGCAATGACCTCTGAGGTAGGATTTACAAGAGTACTCATTCCAACATACAAAAAGGAATGGATTCTCACTGGGATAAGGACTTGCTTTGTTCGCCAGCAGTTCAATCCAAGTCTTGATTGGATGTCCCTAAAACGGACGCAGACTGAGCCATTGTGCCAGAGACAACGTGTTATCTTTTTATGTTGTTGTTGTTGCTGTTAAACTATGATCTGTGACTTTTTTTTTGAATGCTTTAAAAAGAAATCTTTAAGTCTGTGGATCTGCTGATGTACAGTGCCTTTGCTGCTATGGATCAAAATCAAAAGACCCGTGTAGATAAATCTTATTGTATAAGTAGAAAATTACTTAATTTCATACTAGAAATGGATTGATGCTGCAAGTTAAAATGGACTGTTCATTGAAGTTCCAAATGTGGTAGCAAAAAATGGTGTCTTAAGTGCTTAGTGTTTGATGTCATTAACAGTTTCGTAATACTCTACATTGTAGAAAGATTTTGATACTAAACTGTGTCATTGTACATAGTTCTAATGCATTGTATTGACCACCAGTACTTCTATAATGGTAGATTATTGTTTGTGCATTCAGACTTTTAAGCATTAAACATAAGTAACTTCTCAGATGCATTTTTCTATTTTTTCCCCCTCCTCCCTCATTATTTTTGTGTGTGATAATCTAGTGACGTGTGCAGAATGCTGTCTGTAGGGACAACATTCAGCCGCAGAGCATGCCACTACAGATACTTTGTGGTTTTGTCACTGAGAGGCTATTTAGAGTTTCACAGTATTTCTCCAAGCTAGCAAAAATCAATGGATTTACAGTTTCCCACGTTAACTGACTGCAGTGATTCTGAACTCTTGGAGGCATCAGTCACAAGGCTTTGGCTGTGTCACCTAGGAATTTGCCACCTCCTGTATGTGTAGTTTCCCATCTGATACAGAGCTTTATGTTTCCCCATACCTTAGCAGGACACGGGGAGTGGTGTTGCACTGCAGCATCACATCTGCGTTTCCCCATCCAGAGCTAAAACCTGTTCATGCCCGTGGAAAGGCTTTTCTTGACTACAGTTGGTTTTAGATCAAGGATTTAACCCAGATTCCATTGAGTTAAGACACAGGTTAAAGTGAACTAGGGCAAATGAATTTATACACTATTGGGGGTGGGGGAGGAGTCGTGCTATTCTTATCAGGAGAAATGGAAATGGAAGAAATCCAAGGGCACGTTGGTTTTAAATCTTCTTCCTGTAACCCATTTCTGAAAAGCGACGTTGTGCCTGTTGGAAATTCCCAGACATGGGAGCCTGTCCTGCTGTGACATGGGAGCCCAGGCTGACAAATTTGTTGGGTTTTTTTTTTTGAAATGCCAATACAAGGCTTAAGCTGATGAGGTGATTTACCTGTACTGTGAGTGACTGGGCAATACTTATTGATGGAGGAGAATGGAGAGTCAAGTTTGCCTCAGAGCTATCAGTTTCCTTAGAGCTAATGGTGAAGAGTTTTCCAGATGTACCCCAGAATAATGTAAGTTTGCACGCGTATTGAGGTTCTGTGCTACTTTGTACAATAATGCTTCGTAAAGGTAAACATGGTACAGATGCTTTCTCTTAATTGTTACTCTTGTCTGAAGAGATATAATTTACCTGTTATAAATATTATATTGGAGACACCTTTTATTTTCAAAGGCATTCAAAAATTTAAAACGCTAGGGTGTACTCCAGTTGCTAACAAAAGAGAAACCACCTACTTAATGTTTGCAGAGGATGTTATATTTTTATGTAGTAGTTCAGGCATATGAGATTACGTAAAACCCCTAAGATAAAGCCTTCCTTTAAAAAGAATAAAACATTATATACTCCTGAATTTGTACCAGAGCTAGTTTTGACAGCGAAGTAATATACTTTTAAAGCAGCCTGCCATATATCTGCTTATTAATGTTTGTATTGACGGCTTGTAAACAGTCTAGGAATTAAATGCTTTAATCCAGGATTACTGCAGTTAAATGTGTAATCATCCTAATTTTTTTCCCTTTCAGGGTTCAGTGCAAGTGAGAGATGTTACAGAGCTACTTTCTGTTTTTCAGTCAAGCATACATAGGGTCACCTTCCTTTTTTATGGTTTCTCTCACCACTGCAGAGCACAATTCTGTGCAAAATGTTTTGTTACAGATGGTTTTTGTGCCACAAACACGTGGCATACACCATATTAAAGGTACAACCATTGCTTTCTCTGTACTTTTCTTCTGCTCTCAAATGTTGTTTAGTGCAGTGATACATTAGAAAAGCCATTTCTTTCTAATCTTTGTATCCTTTTTGACTGGCCAGTATAGACATGTTTAAGGGGAGCACTTTCCATTAAAATAGTATTTTCTAAAAATATGCAATTTTAAATTATATTTCTCCTGCTATTTCTTTTTAAGCTACTCAGTTATGTAAAAAAGAAAAAAAAAAGATACATTCTACAAGCTGTGATTTTCCTGTATAAAGGAATTTTTAAGTCTGTACTGGAATAGTTCAAATTAGATTTTGTGTTTATTTTTACTCTGGCACTGAAACACGTAGGAAATTCTTTCTTCCTGAAATGTATATGAGTGTGTAAAAGAGGGTAGCTATGCAGGTCTATGTATGTCTGGAGTATCTTCTACAGAAACACAGGTCGTACCGTGTGCCAAAATTAGCTTATCTGTGCTGAAGACAGCAATGGTTTACACAGCTGAAAATTTATCTCACTGCTATAGTCATAGAGGGCCCAATCAACCTATTTTGACTGGGTTTTTTGTTTTGTTTTGAACAGTTTGGTTCTTTGAGCCTCTTCTGGTTTTCTCCTAGCATGTTCAATTGTGATCATCCCTACTGAAATCTGATGTGACTAGCTTCTACTCAAGGATTTATGCTCTGAAAGAAAGAAAGAAAAAAAAAAGTTAAATAAATTATGCTGAAGTTCTTGTATGTGCAGGAGTCAGGAAATTCAAAGCAGTAGCTTGGGCTGAAACTGTTTCTCATTTGCATTGAATATTCTACATCTTTGTGGCACCAAATTAGCACCGAATACAGCAATACAAAATATGCTTTAGAACATCAAGTATGGCTACTGAGAACATCGCTTTGAATTTTTCAGAGCAAATGCACTCTGAAGAGCTCAGCCAAAGAACTGCTCTTACGTGGGGTATGTGGGCGGAGTAGTTGCATTCAGTACTGAAGACCTTTCCGGATATTAACATGTAGTGACCACAGTGGTATTGAGGAGGGTTGGGCAGTATGGGCTTGATGTGCTGCCAGCCAGTTCTGCCATATAATTACACAAGAATCCCCTTCCCAGGCATAGCAGGAGATGAATCCTGGAGTAGTGTGCTGTAGAAGATCATCTCTGACAAGCTCTTAAATAATGCACCTGCCACGTCTGCTTTTGAACCAAGAGTTACTGAACATAACCCTTGAGATTTCACGTTTCTTCTGGTATTTGGAGTACAGCGTTTCCACCTCACAGCAAGAAATTTTTATGTCAAAACCAATAAATGTTCTTATTCTTACCAAATGATTTTCTGTCCCGGTTACAAGGAAACAGTATTACAGTGTCTTTTTTTATTATTAAAAATGGTGTAGTCTGACGTTTACAACATGTCCATAAACCTCCCATCAAGTGCAAAGAAGCTCTTTTGGGGGGTCACTTTGACTCACATGGTTACATTCTAAAATGTTGTTGCAGAAATACTTTTTTTCTTGTTTGGGGGGGATTAACCTATGACGTTGTATGGATAGTATACATGTTAAGGGAGGGATTGTCTACTAGTTACTTCTGCATCTGTGGTTTGGACTTGGCCAATTACCCCAGAATGCTAAAATGCATCTGAAGGGTAAAATCAGTAAGTACAAATATTTAAGGATTTTTAAAAAAATTCTGCTGTTCTACAGTAATTATATTGACCCAAACTGTCTTTTAATGTCATATCAAGGTAAGCATCTGTATTACACCTTCTTTTCATATTCAAATAAAAGAAGGGGTGGAGGAATTTAAAGCTAATCTTTACCTTTCAATCAAATCTGTTCTTTAAAAAATACCCCAACGCTAGTGCTTGGGGGAGTAATTGTCTTGATTTTATTGTCACTGTTCTTGAAGAATTTTATAACAAATGTGCTGTGGCACAATCCGCAGTAATGCTGTAAATTGGGGTAGGTGACATGGCTGCTATTAAAAGCCGGGTTTAGACAGTGCTATTGACATAAAAAAAGTCAGCATGACTTGGTGGTCAAAGGTGATAACTCATTTCCTGAGCCAAAGCAGTATGGGTGTTTGGCAGCATATTTGAATGCATTTGGATGTCTGTCCAGTACGGCTTATGGAAACGTTGAGGTGTTTCAACAATTCTGTCGTGATTTTTTTGCTGTAATTTAGGATGTGTTTGCTGCAAGAAATGGTCCATAGGGATGAACTGGGTCCCAGGGCCACGGGCAGGAGGTGCCATGTGGAATGGGCAGCTCCGCTTCT